ATACTCCTCAAGTAGGTAGAGTTCTCATTTCCCCTGCACATTTCAGCGCGCATTTTCTCCAATTTGAGGAGACCGGAGACTCAAAGCATGACTACGCAGCCCGTGTGAACACTCCATGTGCATGCAAAAACTGTATTAAACTCATATATACGTCATATATAGTGATGCCATCGACACTTTGATGTAGGTGTTCTTTTTCCAATTACCTTCTTTTCGTTCTCTACTCACTTGGACCCATCAATAGGGTCAAGACCGGACTCGGCCCTCGGAAGGAGTCGGTACCGGAGTCGGAAGGGGTCGGTACCGGAGGAGGAAGGGTACCGTTCGTTCGAGTGTCTCAACGTTCGGTAGGTACCTGGTTTGAAGGGGTGGAAGGTCGGTTTCAAGAAGGGTGGGTTATCCCAGGAGTCACATCCGTCGGGCCTAGATGGTTTGGTTCCCATCCGTCGGGGCGGATGTGACGTCGGGGGACCCCTATCCTTCCTTCCTCCGTTCGGAACCGGCACCCCGTCTTGTGACTGCTGGTCCCATGTTCTAGCGTACTTGAAGGAGGGTCAAGGGGCTTCGGTCTGCACCATCGACCGAGTGGCCCACCACCATGGGATGAGGACTTGATCGCCCCACCATTGAGTGAAGAAAAAATTACACTCCTGGATTCCAGGAAGTTTAATGAATAGAAGAACTGATTCTTGAAGAATTGAAGGAACAGTACAACCTTGCTAAACCTTACTAAACCATACTAAACCACTATGTGTCTATAGAGCGGAAAATAGGTACGTCGCTTGGATGGTTTTTTCAGACATCTGTCCACTCATCTGCCCGCTCATGACTGGCAAACCCCAAGACTGGCATATTGCGGCATAAGACCCAACTATAGCAACTAGTAACTATATCTGCACATCCCAAAAAACATCAATTGAGAAGTAGGAACCCCCCCCACAAAGCCCAACCTATCTGGGATTTCTTGTTTTTTTGCACGGGTGGAGACGCCATGTGTGCAGAGAATGCACAGGTCATCTTAACCTATCTGGGGAAAAAAAACACCTCTCATCACCTCGGACCCGCTCAACGTCCGAGGTGACCGTTTCTCGGAGGTACCGGATGTACGCGGGGACCGGCAGTTCGACGTTCACGGTGGCAGAAAGGCATGGCCATTGGTCAAGGCCCCAACCCTAGGATTCCAACAACCGGTTTGATGGATGTTCATGGTTGTTCTAACAGGTTCTAAGGCTCTTTGTTTTTGTCCATTTCATTCTGGCCATCCGAGTCTCACGTCTCGCGACGCTGGCCTGATGTTCTATAAGGTTTTACACTACAAGGGCAGCTGTCTACCATTCCTTTGATGGTCCACCTCTGGGACCTGGCACCTGGCTCCTCGGGCCAAGGCTCCACGGTCCAGCTCGGCGTCCAAAACGACGAGCTCGGCCCAAAGGCTTCGGTACAGGGACCCGAGGCTTTGCCGGCGAAGCCCATGTGCAAATGCACGAAGCCTCTGAGCCGCGCCGCGGCCGCGGCGCCGCGCCGGTGGCGTCGAAGAGGTGAATGTAAAGCGGGAGCTTTCATCAAAGGAGCAGCGACCGAGCGAAGACATGCGCCCGAGCGAGCTCAGGGAGCCACGATTTGGGACCCTTTGTTGGTCTACCTGGAGCATTTGCCACGATCTGCTAAACATGGACGACTTCGAAGGGACCAACGTACTCCTCGTCTTCCGACCTCACTTCCTTGGACCTGGTCGTACCTTCCTCGTTCACCGGACCAACACCACCTGTTAGGATCACCGGACGGTGTCCCACTTCTCGTTCGGTGAGCTGCAGGTGATCCACAATTGATCCGATCCTGTGCCACACCTCTCCAACTGCTCCGACTTCCAAGAAGCCTTCTGTGCGCCACATCCTCGGGTGCCACATGGGGTGCCGAAATCGGGGAGACCCGACTCCCCAAGGGCTCGAAGGAAAACATGGGCCAGGTCCCAGATCCGTGCTCCGACATCAAGAAATTCCATATCAAGTACCGTGGTTTCAGAGTAGGGGACATGATGAGACGACAATCTCCAAGCAGGCGATGAAAGCGATTGGGGCCCCTCATCCCAAAAGACCTCTTGGGTTGCCAGCGCCATCTGACTTGTCTTAAACGAGAATGGTGAGCAGCAGAGTTGCAGAAGCATCGATTTGGAGCTCAGCATGGCTGCAAAAAACCGGAGACCAGAGGCGGGCACCAACAAGGCACCCATTGGAAGATCTCCTTTGGACAGTTCACCCCTTGACCCGACTTCAAGTATCTTCAGAACATGCGACATGACCCTATATACCCCAGACAAAACACCCATGGGACAGCCATAGGACTGCCAATCAGTTGGGGTGGTTGACTGGGGGTCAATGTATAAGCATATATGGCATACATGGAGTGAGTCTGGGTACCAAAAAACAGGTCATCTACGACTTTGGACCCATTTTCTGAGGTACGTGGAACCGTCGACGTTTCACTCAGAAGTCTGACCTGTGCCCTGAGGACTGGTGCTCCAAATCCTTGGCCCCAATCCCCAGTGGATGATTCGATGATTCAGTTTAGGTGTTGACATTCCAAGCAAATACCTAGCATTTGGCTTACTTCGCAGTATTTTGTGCTGAAAAAAACAGCCTGTGAGATGAAAACACACATCCAAAACCCAAACCCAAAAGCCTCCACCAGAAATGAAACAAATCATTGATTAGACGAAAGCAATAGTTTCAACAAATACTGATTAGAAGATACCAATATGACAATGACCCTCCTGATCACAATAAATTAATATGCGTATCTTCTCCTTTGCAAATACCCTCATGGCATCTTCCAGCCCCATTGCAGTGTCGTCTCCTCATACAGAAAAGTTCACCAAACAAGTTCAAACTGTTACAAGCTGCTCTTGCGCATTGCTGCGGCGCAGAAGGAATTGCCAGATCACATCATAGCATGCACCTGTCGCAAAAATAAATCCACCGAGCGTCTATGAGTTTGTTTGTGGTTTCTCTGTACTTCCAAGAGAGGTTAAGTGACCTTATAGGACCTTACTGGGGTACCTATGGGATAGACGAACTAGGGTCCTTCAACCTCTGTTTCTCTGGTCATCTGCTCATCTGCCGATCGTTTTCGTACTGGCGACGATCCGGTGAAGATCGTCCAAAGGTTTGTGCATGAACATCCAAATTGTGTAGTCGTTAGTCATTGGAATTCTTGGTTTGAAGGCTTCTACTTCCAAAGCCGATCACTGATCACTTCTGGCCGCTTGACTAGGCCACAAAGAATGGATCTCTTGACAAAAAGGAACTTGGTGCTTGGACCACTTGGATGAGTGCAAGTTCAAGCAAGGTCTGACGTGTTCAGCCCCAAGTGGTGCTTCCCACCGAAGAATGCAGCCTCTGAGAAATGACTGGACTTCCATTCATAAATGTTCAGGCAACGGATTTGACTAAGTTGTACGACAACCAGCAGCGGACACCAATGGACAACCCCACACTACCTATAGGTCTCTATTGACCGCTTGGAAGTGCTAGGAATAGATGACATTATAGTTTGGCTTCACAAACAGGAATCTGCATGCATGCAGCTCAGTAAACTGAGTCATGTTCACCTCAATAAACTCAATAGGTCACAAACTGATTCACCCAAAGAGCAAAACGACTACTATTCTGAGCAGGCTTGATCAAAAACTCCATCTCACTGTTAGCCGTTGCTACCATTCTTCGTTCTTGTCTTAGAAGGTCCGGTCTCCGCCGCGCGGCCTTCGGTATAATCGGGTTCATCCCATTCAGGAATTCGGCACTCATTCCTGAGCGAATTGTTTCGCACAAAACACACGCACACACTGCATGATGGAACTGCAGGGTGGCCGTTCTATACTATGCCTGGGCGCTGTGTGTGTCTTTTCAGGAAGAATGTTCCTGGGAATCATGAATAGTTGATCCAATTTTGCCTGATCTATAATATCCCAGACACTCCATGTACGGAATGTATACCACCTGTACATCGACATCTTCAAACCACTGATCCAGTCCCACGACACATCGTGTCGGGGAGTGCTTGATGACCATTTTTTCTCACCCGTGGCCCCTGGTGTCCACACAGTCCAAATGATCCTATTCGACTCCAAGAGAGGTTTTCTTGAGACCTGGTGACAAAGGGCAACGGTGGGGGGCCCATATGGGAGAGTCGATATCTAGGGTCCTGAAAAACCTCTGTCAAGGAAGACCGTTCTCCTCTAAAAACAGGCCGAAATCACACCTCCATAAATGGAGGGAAGGTATATTTGGCACCACCGAAGTAAAGGAAGTGCCTCCTCCGGACATTTAGGGACATCCTTAGAATTCTTTAAACGGTCGACTGGAGTTCCAGGGCCTAGATTGACCCCTTTTCAACCACCCCAAGTGATCAGCGAATAGGCCAGTCTCATGCATGGTCTGGGTCCCAGCCCTTGCCGGTCGCTTTCCATCTTCAACAGCCTTGTCATGTCTTGTCCTCTCAAACCTCAAGGATCCAAAATGAACTGGATTTTGGTTGGTTGATCCCAGATCTGTCTGAAAAAAGGATATGGTCTTGACAGGTTTTGTCCACCCATGCTCCTCCATCGGCTCCATCGGCTCAGGTCTCTGATCCCGAAAATCAGGTCGACGCGTCGATGTAGTCGGCCGCCGAGCATCGGGTAGTGTGGCGGTGCCAGGCTGGTGGGGTCCAATCTGCCAAGCGGTGAGTGATGTTCGTTCGATGGCCACAGAAAAGCAGATAGGGCAATCACCAATATAGGTATAACTACCCTGCAAGCCTGAACCCTGGAAATTTGTAGGGTCTGAATTCATACCTCGGGTATGCGTGAGTTCACAGGCAAACATCGGGTTCTTGTGGGAAACCCAGGGTTTGGACCCAAGCCATTCCCCAAACACCTCCTCGTGCTGTCTCTCAGGCAGTGGCTCATGCCCAACAAGGTTTGGGAAGCTTGAAGGCAGGTCCCAACAGACATGCCTCCAATAGGCAACACAACATTTCAAAATTGTCAACATACGATATCGAACTTTAGGACATACTAGTATGAGCATGCAAATATAAGACGTGACACAGGGCAACAAATGCTGGCTGCAACAAAGTTGACGGGATTCCCGATCTTTACACCTTTACATTGTACACCTCACCCCGCTGCAGCCGCATTCATGGCCACTTTTCTCCATGGTTTTGGCGGGCCAAAGCCAGTGATTCAGTCTGGATCTCAATGATTGGGTCCTGGGGCAACGCAAGCATATCAGCACAAATGAAGAGAAGCAGAAATTCTGAACATGTTTAACTGCAAGCGTGCGTTTATAATTCTTAATGTTTCTTAATTGGACCCATGGATTGGCATGGATTCGTTCCTCCCAATAATCTTGAGGTGTGAGTTGTGGTGTGAGTGCACTGGGCTGTGAAAGCATGCGTCTCGTTCCGCAGCTACATGTGCAGCGCAAGTAGTTGCCAGTCTTGATCGATCTAGGCCCCATGCCGTACCCCTCTCGAAAGCGTCCAGCATCGCGCGATCTTGAGACTTTGGATGTGGAGGGCATCGCTGAGGAGTGGGACCAATGCGAGGAGCTTCGAAATAGATTGCGGGGGGGGAGGCTCATTCTTTCACCCTGACGGCACCACTGATGATGTTCAGGGATGCTGCAAAAATGCAGACCTTTTGGTTCCCATTCTCACCAGAATGGCCCCAACGGAAACAAAGCCACTCGCGCCGGTGGACCCGCTACGTGTGGAGATCGATAAACTCATGACCAAAAACAAGAGGTCCCCAGCAAATGCTCCGGAAGAACTCGATGCCGTGATCAAAGCTAGCTGGCGGCTGAAGAAGCTGTTGGGATTCGTGAAAATGAAAGCACGTCGAGGAGAAGTGAGCACCGTTACTTGACGAACTTTCATCATCAAAAACCTGCAGTTGCACACCAAGATCATTTCGATTCATTTCGCTCGCGTATATGTTTCAAAACATGTGATGTGTTACTATCAAAGGTGAAGTGATGTGAAGTGTCTTGACATGCAAGCACCCTTGTGGGCATGCAACCATTTCTCAGGTTGAAACTTTCCAGGGCTTGTGCCTCATCCTGAACCCTATGTTGCAGGCTTGGGCCTTGTCTTTCATATATTGAGCGGATGTCAAGCACGTATATAGCCATTATAAAGACTGCACAGACAGAGCGTGAATCTGTGTATATATATATATATCGATCATCACTCGTGCTGGGCATTGGGGGTTTGATGTGACCCGCGCATCCGGCGCAGATGACAGTGGACGACGTCAACGAGAGGGTCCAACAAAGACGGGCTTCCAAGGAGGACATGCCATTCATGCAATATGATATTTTTGCAGGACGCAATGCCTCCACCGATCAAACATATATACGCACGTGGTCACGCAAACCTTGTTTGTGTGTTCTGCAACGATCTCCTGAATTGCAGATTGTCATGTCAGTTAACTCCTGTGAGCAATGCACGTGTCTCCTATGTCCATGTGCACATTCAATATTAACTGCAAGTATATTGGACTCAGTTTGGTCATAGTATCTCTCAAACTTTTCAAGAACTTAAATCTTCTATATACTTCGATATTTCCAAACTCTCTTCAGGAGGTTGAGGAGGAAGGTGAAGATGAGTGGGACGAGGAAGGAGAAAATGATGTAAAGGAAGATGACGCATTCATGGAAACCAATCCCGGACAACAGGGACAACCGGATGGTGAGGGCAAGGGTTCAAAGCGGATTGAGGGCGATGGTGACACCATTGAGGAGAAACCACAGGAAACAAAGTTTCAGGAGATGGAGGATCCCACCCCGAAAGCATCGAGCCCACCGCAAACCAAGCAGCCATCTGCTGAACAGCCAGCAGCACCAGGTCAGAACAGCAACGCGGGGACCAGCCCAGAAGTATCAGCAGTACCACCAAGTTCAACGGAGGATACACCCAAAGCAGGTTCTGCTACTGGAAACCTCGCAAGTGATGAAGCTCGTGCCCCGGACGCGTTTGCGCCATAAAAGTTATATTGTTTTCATGCTTACCAGCGCATTGACCTGTTTCAGCCCTGTGCATTTATGTTTTGCAACCTGTTCCCGACGCAAGGTAAACAGGAGTTGATGGACAAGCGAGCAGCTCTCAGGGCCAAATTGGCTGAGTGTTTGGACAGCAATAAGATCGCGCACGCGTATATGCATGTACTTATGCATGTATATATGGTGTGTCAACGCTGAGTTAGCTGGGAACATATTTCTCTTGAATCACAGGTTTATGGTGCTTGTATGGCCCCGTTGTATACATCCACCGTTCGCCCAGGATCCAGGCACAAAAGGGCGCACCAACAGAGGGCTTGGCTGTGCAATCAGGTGTCCTTGCATCGCCTCCTGTTTCTGGTCAAGCAGGCGCCAAACCAGCTGTTTATCTGGGAGTGCTTTTCTCGCTGACTGCATGGTTAAATGACACGCTTTATCACACCACTGGTGAATTATATATATATATACTGCATGCATGTTTTTTTGTGAAGACATGGGCACGCCCACGATATGTACGCCGATGTTTGGATGTGCCAGTTAGTTGTTTAATCTGAAAGATTCTGAAAGCTTGTGTGCAGGCCCGGTTCCAGTTGCCGGGGACAATCAAGACACTCTGCCATTTGACGTCGCAATGGCTGCTACTCCACAAGAACTTAGTCAAAGTCTGTCACCCAAGCATTGTGCAGAGGTCAAACGACAGCAGTTTCAAGAGAAAACAAACATTGTGAAGAATGATGTTGAGGAGACACCACAATATGTGGCGGATGGTGGTCATCCTTCGGATGAACATCCTTCTGGTCCGAAGGTAGAGCTGAAACAGAAAGAAACAAACTCCACCATGAGCGCCGAAAAGGAGTTGCCCAACAATGCTGAAGAGGTATTCACAGCCAGTGAAGCCGAGGCGAGGAACGGGCACAGCACACTGCATTCAACATGATTCAACTTGCACTTACATTTTAAATATATAATTTCAAGTGTTCATGATCAATTGATCTAAATCTGAATGCGCACGATTGACGGCCCCGGCCATACTATTAAATGTTTCAATTGCACATTGATCAACCCGTTCAACTTCTCAGTGACCAATTCTCAAAGTGATGCGCAATCAAAAACTGTTCGCCTGCATATCCTCAAACATCCTCAAACCTATCATCTGGATTAATTTGGCCTTGATCCTGGCAGGAGCCTCAAAAACCTTCAGTGACCCGGAAGAGTCAGATGGAGCGGAAAGGAGAAGACCCAGAAGGCAGGGGACGAGGCGGTGGACGCGGGCGCGGAAAGGGGCGAGGAAGAGGACGAGGGAGGAACAACCAATCTCAGAAACAGGAGGTGGAAAAGGAGAAGGTGTCAAGGAAAAGGTCGAAGGGCAAGGATTCTCATGAAGCCTGGGAAAATTGGAGTGGCTGGTGGGATGGCAACGGCAATTCGTGGGGTCAGTGGTCACCAGAAGAGTGGGCAGAGTGGGAGTGGGACCAGGAATGTGCCAGGCCCAAGGACCAAGTTCCAAAACGGGCTAGGAAGCCAGTACCAGCCGCATGTTCTGCCCAGTCCCCGCCCAAGAAATCGAAGCGGAAGAACTCAGAAAGCAAAGCTGCTTCTGAGACAGCCCCCCAAGACAAGAAACAGCGAAAGCGAAAGGAGAATGTGGCTAAGCCAGAGCCATTGCCACCGGCACCGGAAACAAGCAAGGAACTAAAACAGGAAGTGCTGGGAGTCCTGAATTTTTCAAAGGACCTGACAGAAGATAATGCACGAGAGGAACTCAGAAAGTTGGTGCCTGATTTCACCGCACTTGGGTACGACAGCAAGTTGAACATCTATTGGGTCCGTAGAGGTGTGAAAGGCGTAGGGGTTGGAGTGACTTCAAAGTCAGAGGGACTAGACTATGGATTTTTTGGTTTCAAAGTCTGCTGCGACAATTGGATCTATGCTATCGCGGCAGCAATCAAAGCAGCAGAACTTTTGGCAACTTTCTTGCATACAGGTCGATCTCTGTATGCATGAGCATTGAATGCAATCTGCTGTGCACAAACTTGTTTGATGGTCAAATTCGTTTTGCACACCCCACACGATTTGGATACATGTGAATTCGGTTGTGGTGGTTTCTCATGTACTCATGGTCGTCCCCGGGGCATTCATTCAATTCGAATGAATGCATGCTTCAACGACTAAGGTACGCTTTGTGCACCAGTAACAGGCCGAGAATCCACACTCTAAGGTGAGTTTGCAGGCGAATGATGCTGTTGAAGCCATGAAGGAATCGATCAAAGCAGCTGGTAGGAAAGCGATCAATACTTTTCTGAAGTCTTGCGGAAATCCAAAAAATGGATGAGCAATGATGAACAATTAACATGTGTGGTGTGGAAAGCCATGCTCTATAGCCATTGCATGCTTGTGCGGTGTGCAGCGTTCAATACATTTAAAAGTGGGAGCGGGGGCAGCACACAAGTTCCACAAGCTTAGAGCAATGGACAATGGAGTGTGGAAAGTGTTTCTGCTACAGAATTTCCTTTTGTACGATCTACTTATATACGATCAAAACTTATAGATCGATCTGCATGCGTAAATTGGCTGTGCTTTTCAAATCTTCAAACCACACCAAATGTGAGCAGCAAGTGGCGCAATGGGATTTTGTCTACATGCAATCAACAGTCTGCAAACGTCCGCTGTTTCCAATCACATGAAAGCCCGCCCAATGCGCTTCGGTCCTCAATCCAAAAGGGTGGATCGATTCAGCTCCAGAGTTCAGCCTCGGAAGGCGGGTCAGCATTCAGCCCGCGCGAAGAAAAGTGCAAGGATCAGTGTATGAACCGGGAGGCAGCCTTTGAGTCGACCTAGTCTTTCACCATTCATTTGGGTGGTTGGGGTCATCCAAATTTGGAAAGCTAAAAGCTAAAAACTTCAATCACTCCAAACACTTCTATCTGTGGAGAAACGTGGATAAGTTATCACGCAGTATATACAAAGAGGATTCCAAAGCTCTCCATGGAGCATCGACTGAACTTCTATAGATTTGGTGTTCGCTGATCACGAACCAGCCTCAACTCCCCTTTTGAAACACAATACCGATTCCACCGCGTGCCAAGGCCATGCCATTCACCCTCACGGCAAAGCAGCGGCGGAGCCTTCACTGTCTCAAACTTGAGACGAGGGCTCGTGATCCGGACACGTTTTGGAAGGTGTTTGTATTCATTGTATTCGGCTTGCGTCGTGAAAGATTTTGATCTTTATATATATTTCGAACTATATTTCGATACATGGTTTAACGCTCGGGATATTTTGAATCTGAATCGCTTGGATGACAATTCAACTTATATATACTTGTTTCAATGTCAGTTTTGCTCACCAAACTGGCACAGTCGTTCATGCACCCATGTACATCGAGCGCATGGTTCTAGGACTACATCGACCTATAGGAAATAAGTTGAAGTCTTCGGCTGATCCAGCCGACCTGATCGAGCCATGCTGTGCATAGATTCCCTGGTTTGGCGACTTAGAGCTCTACACGTGCCCAAGGCCTGGTGGGTGCATGTATGGTGGGGTCTGGTGCACATCCGATCCACAAAGGGTTTCACAGCAGCGTCCCGTAACATGCAAGACCTCCATGCCCATGTGCTCAATTGCCATCTTACAAGGCTGGCTTGGCAATATGAAGAAAGAAACCCGGCCCCTGCCAGCTTTACCCTGTCAGCAGCCGAGTGTCAATTTAACTCGATCTGCAGGCCTTCGTCCTTTCCATTCTCCTGCTGACATGGACGTATGAGATCAAGCAGGCGGGAACTGAGGTGGGCCCAAGTTGACATGGCTATAGAATATATAGAATTGATTCCATTAGAGCGCATGTTCAGGATCTACAGTGGGTGGAATTCTTTGCCGGACTTGGGAACCTCTCAGTGATGATGCGTGCCAGTGAATATGTCAGCATGCGCTTTGACATCCTAGACAATGAACAGCCCCCACACCGGTCATCCAATTACATGGACCTTGCGCATCAATCCGGCTTTGGGTTTCTTGGATGACTGGATGTGCCATTTGTGGAACCGACAAAACTGTGGTTTGAGTCATGATCGTGTCATGTCCACTTTCGTGCATGCCCTTACAAGCAACCATTGCCCGACCCAGCCCAGGCTGGCTGTCCTGGCACTGCTTCGTTGCATCGTCGATGACTTTGCCTGTCACTTTGGGATTAAGTGTTCTAGCTTTTCCAAGATGAACATCGGTACATCCCGAAGATCACCTTGTAGTTCGTTGGGTTACGCCGAGTATCCATCAGTTCAACTTGGAAACATCCTTTTGGAGAGGACAGTGATCATATGTGCATGCATGAATGAAAACATGTTTCACAACTCTAAAATCTTTTGTGGAACATTCACATGGAAAGTTGATGGAAGATCGAGAGGGGCGGGAGTATAGCATTTCTCATTCAAATGGACTAAAACAATGCCCCGATCGATCCAAGCAAAGACCATCCAAGGGGAAAACTCAAATATATCGCTGAACAAATATAACTTCAGGTTTGTCACCCCGGCCTGCCGCAGGACAAGTCTACTGGTTTTGCTAGCTTGTGCTTTGGGTGGTGCGTTTACCCTCGAGCAGCCGTCCGGGTCCCTGCTGGAGTTTTACCCTGCGTGGCGGGAGGTGATGATGAACATTTGTCGTGTTGGTGGCAACTATGCAGTGCTAGGCTTAAATTTGCACCAAAGGTTGATCAGTGCTGACATGCGGTGGTGCCATCCCCCAAAACAGCTGTTGCTGTTCATTCGAAATTAGGTTCAATGCGTCAAGTGGTGGATGGCGCATTATGGTGGTTCCACCCCAAAGCGGCATTATGCCTACGGGAACACTGCCATGATCCTGGGCATTGACCGCGGTGTCCTTCGGAAATGGAAACCAAAGCATGGGAGAATTGAAACGGCCGAGCGCTATGTTGACAAATCGGGGAAGAAACGATATAAAGGGACTGCGTCACTTCGCGCCACTGAGAAACCTGGTGTACGTATATATGCATTTTTGCGATGACCAACCTCTTTCTTTTGCTATATAATTTTTAGTATATCCTCCAAATCTCAGGGCCGACCCAACCTTCCAGCCAAGGCACTACCCAATGCCATTTGCTAGGGCTGTGGCAGACAGGATCGAGGCTTTCAAGAAGACCCGCAAAGGTTTTCCTAGCTTGCCGGAGAACTTGCCGACAGCTCTCCAAACATTCATGCTGGACTGGGAGGAGTCGACTGATGTGTGGGAGTTTGCTGGGCTAGCAGAGTTCTATGAGTATCTGCGGGGTTGCAATCGAACGACCATCCCTGAGGAGTGGAAACCACATTTTCCGAAAAAAACTTGGTCAGCCAGTTGTTGGAGCAGCCCCCTAAAACTCAATTGTTCATTTTGATTGGGAACCGCAGGAATCCACTGGGAATCAACCTGCCCTCAAAAGGTTTGATAGCAATGATGTACATCCTAATCATGGTCTCAACAACTTTTTGCAAAAAAAAAGTTCGGGTCCAGATTCTTGGATAGAGGGAACCCGTATTGAACCCGTATAGACCCCGTATTTACACCGTACAACCCCGTATATTTTTTTGGAAACCCAGGGTTTGTATAGGAAACCCAGGGTTTGACGAACCCGTATTGAACCCGTATAGACCCCATATTTTACCCGTACCACCCCGTATTTGAAATATGGGGTTCGGGGGGTCTCCAACAGCTCCGTTTTGCAAGGCATTTTGCAAAATTCAATGGCACCAGTTTCAACTATGTGGTTGGTCTGCCAGCCTCCTTTGCGATGTTGAGGTGCTACAAAGGATCTTAATTCGTTAGCCGAAGCATTCGGATTGGACCTGGCCAAAAAGAGACTGTCCACTGTACTGGATCTGTGGCAGATTCGAAATTTGAACTGTTTTGTTTGCAATTTGGCTACCGCAGTGCCATCCAAAGCTCGATGCGATGCTTTTTGGTTTCAGTGCTTTGTGGGATTTTGTGGGATTTAGGTGGTTAAGAAAAAAGGTTCCATGACCTCGTCCCATTCGGTTGGCTGGAGCTGTGGTACTTTGGCCGACGGTGCGGCCAAAATGGACTTGGAGATTGAAGAGCAGAAACTTCTGAAAGAACTCCAGGCCCCTGTCGCACGCATGAACGCTTTCATTTTAGTACAAACTGCGTGTCCAGTTGAACTTTTTGGTATGACCGTTCGTGTTGACAGGATCTGGATGACGAGATTGGCGATTCTGGTCATGTTCAGCCACCCCCAACTCCTATAGAGGCAAGAACCTTAGGGCAAATTATATGTGACGTTATAACTGTTAAATTGTTGTATATAGTTCCGAGGAGCATGGACAGCCTTTCGTGGAATCTTACGAGACCATACCAGCCTAGAACTTAGAAAGTTATCGATTCTCCTCAACCCTCTTTCCCAACCAAGACACCAATTGACCAGCGCGCAAAGGCCACTGCAGAGGAGCTGGCTGCCATGATGGGTTCGGGAGCTTCATCCTAAGTGGCAGTCTTTTTTCCACCGGTTTTTCCATGAGTGGACTGAACCATTGAATGAATTTTGTTTATATAATTGTTTTGCTCAGGGTGGGCCAGAGGATGGTGCAGATCCCAAGACAGTTGAACCGGTTCCACCTGTAGCTACTCCGGCGAGGAGCGACGCTTTGCCCTTGGAGGTTGTTTTGGTACCGGATGAGGAGACCCAGGAACCGACGGCTCCCAAACCTGAGACCAAACCCTCTGAGAGCATTGAAACTCTTCAGAATGGCGGTGGCCCGAATGACGCTGACCAAACGAGTGTTACAAAGAGGGACGCTTCACCTCCAGTGGAACCAGAGCCGGACGACTCTGTGGACCGCAAGGCCCGCCCAAGATTTGATGTTCATGCAACATGCGTGCATGCATGTGGCTGTACAGATCGACCTTCATGATAACAGGTAACATGCATCGATCCTTTAATGGATTTAATGGACACCTTTCCGTTGTTCGAACATGGTCCCCGCTCATCCCAGTTCCCTCTCTGCAGGCAAAGCTCCGTGCTGCAGCCAAATCGCGACTCAACCGGTGGGTGAGGCCGCACAAGAGGCAACCTCACTTGAATGCACCACAGTGGCTCCAGGATGAATGGAAGTCAGGATGTAAGAACATGATTGCCGACCTGCTCAGTCATTTGAACTTCAACAAGGTTCGAGGTCTTTGCAAAACAGCTTAGTCGATCTAACCCACATCCAGGCACATGCGTTTGAGATTAAGAGGTGCATGAATATAAAGGGTGGAAGTTGCAAAGGGTAGAGATTTCGATCCGGTTTTCGCCGACCCTGTCCCAGGAACAGTTCCTCAACAAGCTTCTGATCAGTGTCTCGAAGAAGCAAATGATTGAGTTGACCCAGGAGCAGGGCTGGTATTCGGAAGCTGAGCTGGTGAAGCTTGGATGGTCCGCGCCAGGGTCTCATATATGTCACAGTCAAATGAGTCAACCAACCACAGGTCTGACCGAATTCCTCTTGAACACCTTTTAGTTGAACTATAATGTTGAACCACAAAGATTGTCCCACTGTAGGGCCCGCATTGCGGCGGCCATCCAAAGATGCAAGGCGCTGGGTGAATCTCACTTTAGGCAGGGCTTCATGTTTGACTTGTGCCATCCAATCCACTTCTGTGTCCAATTCTCTCGGGGTCAATTGATATATACAGGTTCAACCAGTACGACGGAGAAGCCGAGTACTGGGTCACGATAAAGGAGGTGGGAAAGAAGGTCCAATCTGCTACGTACGAGGAGTTGCACCAGCAAGAACGGGAGGCCATGATATATATTACAGCCTATATACGCAGCATCGAATTTGGAACAGGTGTGTCCTTCTTTCTTCTATACAGCTTACCTGCCAGCGGTTATAGCTGGCAAGGCCACTGGGAACCCTGACTTTGACTTTGGCATGGACAAGTTCAACATGCTGGAGGCGGACAAGTCAAGGACTGCTAAGGCAAAGGAGGCCAATGACGTACCTGTGGTGCACGGCAAGCATGCTCAGGCACCTGGAGAGAACATCCTATATAACACATGGGAAGAATACGTGTTTTATCAACAGTTAAACCTTGATATCGACATCTTTTCTTAATGTCGACCTTTTGTGACCTGACAGACTCGCGACGCCTTGAAAAAATTTATGGACAGCTTGATATCGAAAACGGGGAAGTTGAGAAGCCTCATCCGCGATTTGGAGACCAAATTTGACGACCCGGCAGCAAAAGCGTAGATGCCCTAGACAAATCGGTGTGTACCAACATGCAAGGGAAAGCTCTCACAAAACGGTTGAACCAAGTGGCATCTCATCCACTAAAGAAACACTCTTTGGCAGCATCATCCGCTCTGCGCTCAGGTGCATCGCGTCCTTGCAGACACAGGTGCAAAAGGTGGATGAGGCGTACGATCAATGCAACACTGCTTGGTCGAAGGGGGAAGCTGAAGGGTTCTTCACTGATACGTTCTTCACTCAACTGCTGAGTCAAAATTATAATGGATGGATATAACAACGGTGTTCGGTATATCTCTCTGAAGTGGTTCAGTCTTGCTTCTGAGGTTCTACAATCTCGCCGAACAGAAAATGAAAGCGGGTACATATGTGTCCCCTCCTCACATGATCTTTGGTTGTAGTGCGACTGATGAACATTAAAGTGCTTGATAGCTCTGTTGGTTTGTTGTCTCGATCGTATATCACTGGCCAAGGTGTGCCGCAGCCTCTGGCGTCGAAATGAAGATCAGGATTGGGGATCGAGTTGCTAAACATGCACGTCCAGCTCGATCGATTTGTTGACTGTCCGGGCCCACTGGGTCTTTTGTATTCAAGCAAGATTGACTTTTGCAATATAAAATATATAATTGCAAGTTGAGACCAAAAATATGTTTCATGAATATATACTTTGCGCCAGGAACGCCAAGAAATACTACAAGAAGCGGAAGGCGGATGAGATTCCTGATGGCAATGGTGATGACCAGGGCGAAGAGCCTGGTGCGAAAAGGCTCAAAACGGCCACTGCCAAAGCCAAGGTACAGGCCAAAAGCAAGGCCAAAACTAAGGCGAAAGCGGGAGCGAAGTAGAACTTCCACTGCTTAGGTCCCACAAGTTGGATCGGTTGCTCGTGCTAGAACACTGTGTGTCCAGGATACGCAGTGTCCTTTTTGGGGGATACCTGCTCAAGCCTGGGATGTTATTTTTTTCAGTTGAAACAACTTCTTGATTGGTTCTTTTCTTCGTGCACATTCCAGTTGATCCTTTCCCGGGAAATGTGCAGCAATATGTTGGCCAGAGCGGCCATCAATTCCAAGATGTGGTTTTGACCGCATCGAATGTGAAACTTTGGGCAGGGTTCAAAAGAATAAAGGTACGCATGACGTGCATCAAGTCGCAGTTAAAATGTATAGCATCCTGCAAACTTCATGCCATGCCCTCCGCGAATCCCACCTCATGTCATGACCACCCACACTATAGATTTTTATTTGCTGGAAACCGGACATGCCAGGTCAGAAACCGGGCCGCACCATCCGTGGCCTTGCCAAAAGAGTTGGTGAGGGAGTCCGGAACTCAACCTTGTTGTTGGGCAGCCAATCCTGGGGAGTGCACTTGAGGGCAAACATGTGGAGAATATATATAGAGATCGAATGTAAATTGCTGAAGCACGTGTTTCAGCACACCCCACACCGGTTTGATTTGCGCGTGTGGTCAACTTACCGCAGCAATTATATGTTTCCAGGTTCCTTACGAAACGGCGATATAAACATATAATGGAACACCACAGCAGGTGGTGTCACACAGGACCCGAAGCACATCCGACAGCAACCAACACTGATTGATGATCAAGATTGACATCCGAATATGTTCAATAAACTGGATCCTGCGTCGGCTGTTTCTTTGCTGCATGTGGATGCCATGGAGTCTCTGGATGATGAACTGTTTGACCTACTAACATGTCATCGTTCTGACACTTGGGCTACAATTTAATTGGATTGCAGTATAAGTGGTTTCATAGATCGATGGATCGCTATCAGTGTTTCTTCAACTTGGGCCCTGGGTCTTGACCGTGCTACGATTTGGAAAAATATAGAGCGCATAAAAATCGACCTATACCTAAATCGTGATCGACAGAGTAGTCGGGTGTAGGTACCCTCCACACCACCGGCCATACGCTTCCATCAGGATGCTGAGATGCCCTATCCGTGGAGAAGGCCACCAGCCGATCCAAAGCATCCTCCTGGCGCATGCTGGAACTCTATTGGAGCTCATGGGGAGCGTTTGGATTTGACCCCGTCTCATACTCGAACAAGCTTAGATACTACTGGTTTGCACACAGCAGCTGGGTTTTTAGATGTGGTTCAGCGATGCCAAAAGGTGGGGAGCATTGACTTCAAGGTCCCCAAATTTGGAATTCCAGCTGGATCCGTTCTCACGCATGCCCAAAATGTCTTGGACGGAATCTTTTCCAAACATGACCCGTGCATATTCAAAATAGGATTCACTCATGACCCGGAGTGGCGCTGGGGAAATAACCTGTACGGATATCAGCGTGCGTGAGATGGGTGGACAAACATGGTCGTCTTGTACTCGTCTGAAGAGCCCTACAGTCCTGCTATGTTAGAGGCAGCATTGATTGACAAACACCTTGGTCACTTTCCTGAGCATTTGTTTGTATATTTTGTGCTGTTTCCTGTGTATACAGAACAAAACCCCTTCAACCAAACCCATGTGATCAATCTTTTGGACATTTTTGGACCCATGCACACCATCCGCATCCCACAGCTCTCCAGCCCAGGACGTCCTGGCTGCAGAAATGTGAAACGAGGCGGAGGCAATGCCATTCCTCCATCATCCGCCTCAGAAAGCTGGTACTCAACGTACGTCGTGTACAGGTCATTTAAGTTTCCCCCTCCAATCCCAAAGTTGGATATCATAGCACGTGCAGGAGCATGAAGTCTCTAGCGATCTTCATTCATGGCAGTTGTGGGATGTGCTTTGAAAAGTGCGTGAGCTTCCGGATCGAGTTTCGAATTCACCTATTTCGTGCCAAGCATTCAACATCGATCAGACCATCATCGAATATTACAAATTAGAACCCAAAGCTCGAATGCACGCACACATGCCCTTGCACACAACTGCAAGTATTTATATTTCAATTGTTATAATTTTTTTGTCGTTTTGACCAGCTCTTGAAGCAGCAAACCGTGAATGATCCATTTCACTTTCAACTGTGCGCATGTGTCTCTCAATGCCTTCGGTCTCCGAGGCCAGTTGCCGATCAGCAATCGATGCTGCGAGAAACATCGTGGCAGACTTGGGGCACGCATCTGTGGCTAGCTCGGGCGGGATTTCTGATCTAGCCAGATGCCAATTTGGTCATTCAGAAAGGGATACCAATAGAGTGATGGTCAAGAAGTACAACCTTTCTTTGCCAGTTGAAAGGTCGTATCTTGAAACGAAAGGTGCAGTCGGAATTCCAGTGTTGAAGATGACGAGCTGGGCTCGTTTTCTTTTGAAACACAATTGCTGGCATGTACTCACTGGGCTGCTTGCGCCGGATGACAGAAGAGAGAAGGCCATACTGAAGGCATTCTGGGCAAAGTTCCAGGAGCAATGCCCAGAACATGATATTTTCCGGATGGCCCAGTCCAATGAACTCAGCTTGGAATCCACAGCCCCAGTGTGCATACACGGCGACGAGGGCCGGGGGCAAAAACACAAGGCGTACCTTGTGGTGAGCTTCTGGTCTTTGCTGGGGCGAGGTTTGGTGCCTTCTGAGATTGACAAGTGCCGAAGAGGTGTCAAGAAGCCTTTCCTCAAACAGCGGTGCAACTACAAGGGCCACAGCTTCACATCTCGGTTCATGATTGCCGGATTGAACAAATCTGCCTACACTGGAGACAATTCTCCAGTCTTTGAGTCCCTCATGAGCCATTGCGCAACGGAGGCCAGGTCATTGGCTACAACTGGTGTGGTTGATGCAAATGGCCAGACGAAGTGGATGCAGTTGTTGTTCATCACAGGCGATTGGCCTTGGCTGCACAAGTCTGGAAAATTTTCCAGATCGTTCAACAACGTGCAGAAAAGGTTGGCCCAGCAGGTTGCAAAAGGCATATGCCACCAATGCAATGCTGGCATGGCAGGCATTCCCTTCGAGCAGGTGTCGACACGTCGTCCTGTTTGGCTCAGCACTGAGTTCATGGATGAGCCGTTCACCTGTGAGTCGCCGTTCCGGGTCGTTCCACATGATCGATCCAGATTTGCTTCCATGTGGGCGTTCGACTTCTTCCACACGTGGCACCTGGGTGTGGCAAAGGTGTTCCACAGTGCAGAGTGAGGGAAATGTCGATGAACGCATGGCTACCGTGTCAGCAATTTACAAGAACTGGTGCGTGACCAACAAGCGCCGAGCATGCATCGAGAAATTGACGAAGGAGTCCATCAACTGGTCCACAACTCGCTGCTTCCCTGTTGGAGCCTGGCACAAAGGCGAGCTGAGTACGGTGTTGATGAGATTTGTCGAGGACTACTTGTGTGCCAACCCGTTTCCACAAGAGCCGATGTTGGAATTGGTGCGGCAAGCTGCGATAGCAATAAATGCCAGCATCAGGGCGATGTACAGGTCTGACCTGTGGCTGTCTCGTGATGAGTGCCATGAGGTAGCTGGGAATGGGCTCAGGTTCCTCCGGAGATTTTCGGAGCTAGCCCATCAAGGAGAGCTGCGGAGCATGAATTTGTTTTCCTTCACTCCGAAGATACACGTGTTACAGAAGATTTTTTTGCGAGTGCATTTTGCACAAGTTGCCAACACCAGCCAGCTAAACCCGCTGGCTGTTTCAGTACAGCAATGCGAAGATTTCATAGGCCGTCCGAGCCGGCTGTCCCGGCGAGTGACCGGAGGTCGATTGGCATCGGATAGGGTCATGGATAGGTACTTGCAGTCCTGCTACCATCACTGGATCGAAGCAGGCTACTTAATTAGACCGTGAGTCAGACCAGTTTGTTTTCAAAGGTTATATAGATCGATCACTTTCTTTGAGCTCTTAATTTGCAGTTGTTGAAATGCTTGAGCCGTTTATGCCGATATATACATGATACCATTTGTTTGTTCAATCTTCGCGGCTTCAAAACGCTGCACTGGTCGAGATCACAGTGGCTCTAAGGCCGCGGCTTGGGATTGGAGCGGTGCCGGGATGACAAAAACGGCAGCGGTTGGAAGTTTTCATGCAGCATGTCAAATCCAGAATATGCCCAAAATGGCAAACCCAGGGTTTGCATTCAAGACCTCGGGTTCCGAGGCCCACCCTACGTTTTTCAAAGGTATGGGCTCCTAAGGTATCAAAAACACTATTAGGGCATTACCAGGATCCACTGGAGTTGGGTGGTAGACATGGACACCCCGAATCACATCTAAGCGGCTCTCAATAGAAGCCCGTCCTGGTATAGGTATATAGATAGGCCGTGGTCCGGGTGGTCCGGGCAAAGGCTCAAGGACCCGAACCAACTGCTACATCCTAGTTGTGAGGGTTTGACTACCCCTACCTTGTGGGGTGATTCAGAGTCCGGATCTTCAAGCTGTACTTCGAAATGATATTTCCCAAACACTCCATGTAATCATGCATATATACCATATTAGCCTAGATTCGGGTGTTTTCGGGGGTCAATGAAGGCCTATATTCCATATACACGGAGTGTCTGGGTTTGATAAGTTTGCCTAAGACATAACCAATATGACGCCCTAGAAGTCAAAAGGCGATATTTTCCCTGGCCCGGTGAAGTAAAGGAAGTTCCCGAACTCAGCTACCTCAAAGACCATTCTTTTGGTAGTCTTTGACTCTCAAGGGACGTCAATTGTCCTGCTGCCTACCGGTTATAGGGAGGTATTATAGCCCCAATCTTAAAAAGTTTTAAGCTTTTGCTCAAGGAAACGCGAAGAAAAACACACCGAAACCTAAGGGGTTCAAGGGATTCGCGTCGAGGAACCGGAAAAAAAACACACACGTTCCATCACCCGATCCGTTTGGCGGCCGCCCGTGGCGCGAGGTTCTTGGGGGTCGTGGGGGTCGAGCAGCATTTGCGCCAACCGGCCAATGAGCTTGTGCTCCCAAGCGATAAAGACGCTGCTCCCATGGGGCACCGCCTGAAGACGCTGCTCCCAAGCGGAGTCGAAGGGTTTTTGCTGCATGCTGCTAGATCCTTCCACAAAGCAATTGTATAGGCATGCACAGGGATTCATCAAATTCTTTCCTGCTGATTTAGTGGTATCATCTCAATATATATCTCAATGTATCTCCAGTATGTTGCCTTATAAATCAGCGCAAGCACACGGTTCCCATTGTTCCCATCATGGAACATCACAACTACCCTGTTCCTTCAAAGCTATTGGAATTCAGTTCACCGACTCCACATCTGAACAGCAAAAAGCTATGACGAACTGCGTCTTCAGATCCGCGTCTTCGGACCCACACAGTCCCCAAAAAGACTTCTGGATGGAACTCCCCAGTCCCTGTCCCTGTCTACTATGTAATCTAGGATCTCTCTCACTGGCGCCTTGTTGGAACAACCAGGTCTCTCTGGTTCTGGTGGTTTCTGGGCTTCCAGGTCGGGATAAGAACCAGATTTCCCCCAGCTCTGCCGGCGCCATGATGATTTCACCATCGCCCCGCCCCGCCCCGATTTCACCACGGAGACCTCGCGGTCGGTCGGTCGGTCGACGTGCGCGGCGCGGGCGACCGTGGCGCGCCTGGACGTAGCGCGCAAAGGCGTCGATGTCTTCGAAATCGATTTCGTTGTCCTCACCGAGTGATGTTGTGGACCCCCTAGACTTCCAAGACCATTAAAACAATGGTTGACCTGGTTTTTGTAGTGTAAAATCATTAGTTGATTGGGTAAAGCCTATTAAATTTGCTTGTGCCCTCGCACCTGTTTTTCACTTCGATGTTGAAACGGCTTCGAGTACAGTTCTCGTTTTGTGCGTGTCTCTCTGACCTGCACTCCTCCCTGGTCGACATGTTTTTCTTCTGACGACCAGTCAACTGAAAAGTCCATCAGCTCAAGCCGTTTGTACGGCAAAGCTTGCATTGGCGGATCTCGAGCATTGTGCCCGTCACAGCAGCACAGCGCGCATCCACATGGTGGGTGCCGAGCTGGTCCTCAAAGATGTAGTTCACTTCCGCCAAGCTTCTCTGCCCTGGCTCTTGTGCGACATGTTGGCACCTTCCACAAATTGGGTGTCCTCTTACCCTGTTTGCATTTCGAAGTCCTCTGCATTCTCGCCTTCGATGAAAGCATCGACTAGACTCTGCAAACCAAGCCTCCCATGGAGCCTCCAAAGTGAATCTCCTTCGCCTTCCTGTCAGGGAGACTTGCAACTGCTGTTCCACTGGCTGATCCATCTGATTCGGAGGGTCCCCATGTGGTTCGTCCTGATTCAAGTGTTCATCAGCACGAACTCCTTGAGTCTCTTGAGTTCCGGAGTCATACTGCTCTGCAGAACGAATGTCATTTCCCCTCGTAGATGACATCGAGCTCCTGGAAGTGCTTCCGCCACAGTGCCTCCCCTGGCATTGACGCCCTTGCACTGTGTCTGATCTTCCACTTCTTTCGCCACTCGACCTGGTAGTAGACCTTGTACTCGATGTAGTATACCATCCGTTGTCACCCTCATACTCCTCATGGTCGGGTCTTCTCTTTGTCGATTCCAACGCATGTGGCATCATTGGAGGACCTTCATCAGCACCATTCCTAGGATCATCATGATCACCCCGAACATGTAGAGCACTTCAGAGCCATCGTCATTTCCTGACTCTTTCTTTGTGTCGTTTTGTACAGCCAATGCTCCATGAATCTTCTGGAACATCGTAATGACCGTCACCAACTGTGCGATCTTCTTGAAGTCGTTCTCCAACCACAGGCGGTGCACAACAGGAAGACTCATCTTCTTGCCTGTCTCCCCCTTTTGGTTGCCACCCCATCTCCATATTTCGCATAAGGTTCTGCATGCGAGTTGGTGCTAGCACCTTCGTCCCGATGTCAGCGACCAAGTCCTTGCCGGGCTCATACTTCAACCCCCAAGACCCAGCTTCAAGTTTCCATCTAAGATGTGCTGCCCTCACCTTCAGGTGGCGCGTTCTCCATGCTCCTGTAGCTGAACTTCCCAAAGCAATGGCTGCCGTGTTGTCACACTTCAGGACCTTTGTCATGTTTCCAGCCATCTCCTCAACCAAGCAACTCACACTGTTTGCAAGGATGACTGACTCAATGACCTCAATCAGCTCGGCCTCTGCAGTGGATAGTGCTGGAAAAGGCTGTTTGGAAGATTTCCATCCAATCGGTGACCCACCCAACAGAGTGATGACAGCTCCATGCGAATGTCCTCCTCCAGGCGCAAACGAAGCATCACTGGTTGACTCTAGTCCAAAGCCACACTTCTTGCGGTACCAGATGCCAACTCCTTGAGAGTGATTCAGGTAGCGCATGACCTGATATATAGGACGCCTCCAGGGCCCAGACTGGAGCTCTAGACGTAGACGAGCAGATCCTGCTCACAGCGTAGGAGATGTCTGGTCTTGTCTTCGTGGACAGCCATAGTAGTTCACCCGCTGCTTGTTGTGCTGCTCGAATGTCATGTGTAGTTTTCCCAGGTTCATCTTCTGGTTCGGCTGTCGTCCTCATCATCACCAGGTTGGATGCTCTGGCGTCCATGGAGTGCCTTCTCAACAACTCTCTCAGGTTGATGAAGAAGCCTTCCGTGTTCCTGTAGATGTCAATCCCACAGAAGCGCAACGGATCTTCTCCAGCCCACTGTGGTTCCGTTGTCTCCCAAGTCTGAGACACCTTCTTCGTCGCCTCTTCAACCACTTGAGGATCTCCAAGGACCAACAGGTCATCGACATAGACCAATGTGCCAACCCACGCACTAGGCCAGAAGACCCATCTGCTCGGTCCTTCTCTCTCAGGATCCAAAGGTTCTCTTCTGCAAAGCTCTGGTTGAAGGCGATCCGAATGTCGTTTACCTTGAACTCCATAGTCGACAGTTGAGCATCACGGTGGTCACCCCACAGCTTTGGTGCTTCTCTTAAGCCATAGAGCGCTCTCTATCATCCACATCTCTCCTTCTTGGACTAGGCCCAACCGAATCAGGATCCGTGGGGGTTGCATCAGGACCAAACGCTCCCTTCGGTTTGGATCCGTCTTCTCCTCCACCTCTGGCTCCATTGGTTGTTGCCCACCTTCTTCTCGATCTTCCAGGGCCTGAAGCTTCTTCTTGCTTTCCTCCACCGTGCACAAAGGGGCATTCAAGAAGGCCGTTTTCACGTCCGTGTAACTCACGACTTTCACGAACCCTCTATCGGTAAGGACAGCATGTCCCTTCGACACCTCAGGAACTGGTGTGAGATACTTCACCTGCTCTCCAGTGGGCTCGAAGGCTCCTTGACGCTGAAGCTCCCAGGATCTCTTCTTTACCACCACGGTCTGTCCAAAGTGAGGTAACTTCTCAGTGATCTTCTCCCTTCGACGTCTCTCCAGCTCCACCACATGCCTTGCAGCTGCTGGCCACCAACACACTTCCATCCCAGCTCCGTCGGACTCTCTGCTTGATGGAGTTGATAGCTGCCTCCGCTCTTCCATTCTGGGCATGTTCATCAGGGCAACTGGTAGTTCTCGACAGTCCCCTTTCCAAGCACCATCGCCTGAATGAACCATTGCAGAACTCCCGTCAGCCTCCCATTCCAGGTTGCAGCAGGTCCTTGATCAACCGACCAACTGGGACTATGGGCTCAACCCCTTCATCTACATGGACCGGCACCTGCCCTTCTGTCATCCGCAAGGTGAGCCGTCCCCCTGCAGCCAGCGACACTTGGACTTGCCTGTACCGCTCCGGTTCTCTCCCGGTCGTCGAGGTCGTAGTGCATGAGTTGCCCCGGTATCCACAAGTCCATTGCTTCCAGCTTGAACCCTTGCCACTGACACTGCCTTCATCGTTGGAGTAGTAGGCCCCTCCTTGATCTTCCTCAAGGCCTCAACCAAATCCGACTCCTTGGACTTCTCCCCCTGGAGCGACATGCCCCTGAGCATTCTCTGTGCTTCATCCAACACCTGCTTCAAAGCATCTTGATTACCTCCCTCCATCAGTTCCGACCCACATGTCGAAGGAGGTGATCCTGGATTCGGGAACACTGAGGACGACGTTTCCGACGGTGCAGACGACGAAGCTCCTCCCACATCCTTCACCTTCTGGATCTTTGGCTTAGGATCGGGGCGCTTTCCATCGCCCTTGCCGCCATCTCCACCAGTAGCTCCAGCATTGTTCGTCTCCTTTCGAGTGCCCCACAGACATAGCACCTCTTTTCGCCAGGCTCAGCTTGATGCTGCCATCGGCATGCTGCTCCTCGTCGGCATCCTCCATCAGTTCGAAAGTATTTGCAGATGCCCGGACTCCCGGACTCTTGCCTTCTCCTTTCTTTTCATCAACAAAGGCCGCCTTGATCTGTGGACCTCCTCCCTGATTGCCAGCTCTCGGAGCTCCCGCAGTCTTGGGCCTGACTCGATGCATGAGTTGTTCAAGTTCAGCAAGTAAGTGCTCAGCATACGTTTTGAC